TTTTTTTTTTTTTTTTTTTTTTGTTTATAACATATAGGTTGGAATAGGTTGTAAAATAATATATTTTGAGATTATTATTCAAAAAAAAAAAATAGGTTGGAGATATTTTGCTTCGAGAGGTGGATACTATGTACACTAAAAGAAATTTCAAATTCATAATACATGAAACATTATAGTAAGTTAATAAGGGCGTGACTAAATACAGCCATATTATCTCAAAAAGATTTTTTTTAGTTAATTAGAGTTAACTTTGAAAATTGTGGTATAGTTGGTTGTTAGTGATATTTTTAGTTTTTTATTAAAATAATATTTAAAATAAAATAATTAAAGTTCATTTGACGAAAATGTAAGATAAATAATGAGATTTTGAGTTTATGTTAAAATAATATTTAAAATAAAATAATTAAAGTTGATTTGATGTAAAGTAGGAGAAATGATGTGAAGTGATGATTAATTAAAAGGAGATTTTCCAATACAAGACCTGAAAGATAGGTAAACTATCAATTTGGGCTGAAAGATTTTTTTTTTCTCAGTTCGAAACCTAAATGCTGTAAAACTATCAAATTAAATCTTACAATTAACAACACTCATAAAACAATTAAATTGAGAGTTAATTTGAAGTTTTAAAACACCAAATTTAAAGATAAATAAAAGATTGTTGTTTACTCATGTAAAATAATAAGTAAACATTTGCATAATATATATATAAAAAAAAAACAGATTTGGTGTTTTAATACTTCAAACAAACTCTCAATTTAATGGGTTTATGAGTGTTGTTAATCGTATGACTTAATTTGATAGTTTTATAACATTTAGGTCCCGAATCGAGAAAAAAAATCTTTCAGGTCTCGAATTGATAGTTTACCCATTTTTCAGGGCTTGTATTGAAAAGCTCCTAATATTATTTATTATATTGATTAAAATAGTGAAATTGGTAGAAGTTGAATTGTATTTTTAGTATAGATTGAGTTTATTTATATATATAAAAAAAAGCTTCCTAAAAAAAAAAACCAAAGGAACAATTGTCAATATAAGTATTAAAAAAAAAGCACACCAAAAATATTATTTTAAATAAAAACTCATATAAATCTGATCCTCTGTTGCAACTAGTATTTGTATACTAGTTAATTACAACTCACCTCCGGCCGGAAATGTTTGTACTCTAAAATTGACGAAGCAAGGTTCAATTCTGGTTTCAATTTTGGATCAGGATGTGGAGGAATAAGTGCAGATTAGGGTTCATCTCTTCACTTCTTTTGTTATCAGTTACTTCGGTGTGCGATGTAGCTTTAGGATCTCCATCTCAGGGCTCTGAAGAAGCTTACGTCACGCTTCTCTACGGCGACGAGTTTCTTCTCGGCGTTCGAGTATTGGGGAATTCGATACGAGACACGGGCTCTAGCAAAGACATGGTTGCTTTGGTATCCGATGGAGTTTCTGATTATGCTAAGAAGCTGCTTCAGGTTCGTACTTGCTCATAATTTTTTTTTTTTTTTTTTT